GAATTCCTTGGCTAAGCTCTGCTTTAGTCTGCTCATCTCTTCAATATCATCTCCAGTCAAGATTATGTTATCAACATAGACAATCAGAACCGAAACCTTGTCTTTGGTGGATCTTTTTGTGAAAAGAGTATGATCAGATTGTCCTTGATTATATCCTTGACTTTTAACGAACCTTGTGAATCTTTCAAACCAGGCTCTGGGAGACTGTTTAAGTCCATGTAGAGACCTTTTTAGCTTGCATACCTTAATTCCAAACTTCTCAGTGAAACTAGGTGGAGGCTCCATATATACTTCTTCTTCCAAGTCTCCATTCAAAAAGGCATTCTTCACATCTAGCTGATTCAGTGGCCAGTCATGATTAGCTGCAACAGATAAGAGTACTCGAACTGTATTTAGCTTCGCTACTGGAGAAAAGGTCTCAGAGTAGTCCACTCCATATGTCTGAGTAAAGCCTTTAGCTACTAGGCGAGCCTTGTATCTCTCCAAGGATCCATCTGAGTTGTACTTCAGTGTGAACACCCATTTACAACCAACAACTGTCTTTACATCCGGCAGATCCATTTTCTCCCAAGTAGCATTCTTTTCCAAAGCTCTCATCTCCTCAAAAACAGTTTCTTTCCACTCAGGAACATTTAAAGCCTCCTAGATATTGTTAGGAATGGATACACGAGACACTTGTGAAATAAAGGCACAATATGAAGGTGAAATATTTTTGTAAGATACAAAATTTGACARAGGATGTTTTGTACAAGACCTAACACCTTTCCTAAGAGCAATGGGAAGATCAAGCTGACTAGAAGAATTAGAATTACCTGGAGGAATATTTTCAAGAATTTTTGGAGAGTTATCATGAATTTCATGATCCAACCTCAGATCAAATTCTTGTTGATGCTACGGAATAGTGCTTCTCCTTTTCTGTGCTAGATATTCCCTTGAATATACAAGGCCTTTATACTATTTCGCACACATCTCTGTTGTTTCAGCCTTTTCATTTTGAGATGGCATCACCAAAGGTTGTTCATTTTCAATATTTAATTCATTTGTTTCCACTGATTTTGTATTTTCTGCTGCACTTTCTTTCGGTGACTGGTTGTGAAGAACATCATTATGGACAAATTCAAACATTAAATCAGAACCATCTAAAAAACCATCTTCATTAGTGTTGCTCTCCCCCTGAAGATGGGAGTTGCTGTAGTACGAGGTTCCTTCAAAGAATGTGACATCCATAATCACAAACAT